ATGGTCCAATCGGCGCTTCTATTGGCACCCACATTACGTTCATATCCTTTTGTTTACGGAGCTCATACATCATCAGTCATAACTCCTGTACAACAACAATATCACACTCAAGATGAGTTGGGCCAATATGCATACGGTTACAGCGATCCGTTGTCCGCGAAGCAAGAAGTGCGCTCTTTAGATGGCGTTACCCAAGGCTCGTATTCCTACATCGATGCTGAAGGCATATTACAAACAGTTGATTACACAGCCGATGAGAATGGGTTTCGTGTCGCAGCCACGAATCTACCAAAATCTCAACAAAGCACAAACTATCATACAGCAGCAGCAACGACAATTGCCATTCCCGTTGCCTCAATTTCCGATACCTCAGCTGCCTCTGTGGCCATTCCCACTGCCGCAACTACCGCAATTGCCGCAAATACCGATAGTGAATCAATTAACGCAATTAATACGTCTGGTCCGGCGATTCATACGACAAGCGGGCTGCGTTTGGCGAGCGGTTCAGCCACTCACTCAAAATCTACTGCAGATACAACCCATGTTCGCACTTTGGAATTGTCTCAGTCCGTGGCAGATACCACTAAGGTGGCCCCAGCCAGCACCGTTCTCATAAAAGGTCAACCTCGTGAACTGATCTTCTCAACACCAGTTACTATCGCCGGCTATCCATCTGCCATTACAAGATCCTTAATACCGAAAGTTTATACTTTTGGATATCCACTTAAGCATCGTCTTTACACCACTGGTTTATATTATTAATTATTTATTTATTTTTTTAATATTTTTTTATATTATCTTTTACATTATTTTACATATGTGCATAATCAGCAAGACATTAATAAAATCTTTTAAAAGAAAAAGACACCGAATAATTATGAATATATTCTATGAAGAATATTAACATTCATTATGTATATATGTGGAGGTCTCAAAAATCTCTATTACTTCAAGGTCAACTTTTCTCATTCGAAGCATCGGAATTGGAAAAAAATTCGACCAACAATCACTTTTAATCTATCTAGATGAAGACAGCTCTTTGAATCAGTGTAGAAGTTGTAATATTTATGTAATTTCAAGCGCACTAAGTTGATTACATGAAGTATACCTGAACATACGTACATATACGTATATATATACATTATCTTTTAAGCCCTCCTTTTGGGCGTAGGATTAAGAATAACATTTTGCTTTTTTCTTGTCATCCTATCATTGCTTGTGCATCGTTTATAGCGGCTGTTCCAACGCGAAAAATGTCGTTTGGTATATGAAGCAGAGATAAACGATTCAGCCAAGGAAAATGAGGTTCTTTTCATCATTTCAATTATAATAGTTGTTCGGTAAGCGATCAGTTTTCGTATGAAACAGGCGAACACATAGAGTGCCATGGATGATGTGAATATTATTCACTTTTCCAATTTCAATATGAAATTATTTTGAAATTTCTTCTTCTAACTTATTCCGATCGCTATTAAAACGATTAAAATCTTACTCAATATCAACAATGCATTTTTGTCTCAAGTAAATGCAAAAGGTAGCGCACTTGCAGTCGTAACATTCCTTCGATTTCGATTTCAATTTCATTTAGAATGAATTTTAAAAATAACAGCAAAGGATTTCGGATTTTCTCCTTAGTTTCTATTAATCGGATTGCTTGCTCTTCATTTCAGAGAGCTACCTAGCTCCTTTGATAAGCTTGGACTCAACCCTATAAATTAGTACAAAAGTTGCGGTCGTCCACGGATTCACTTAACAGCATTTTGAAAAAGTCTAGCACTAATGAGCTCCTTTGATAATCTTCGACCCAACAATATTAATTAGTATAAAAGTTGCGGCGGTCCACGGATTCAAAATTGTTCAAAAAAGCCTTCTGTCCTTTGGGGGAAAGTGGAAAACTATAAGAAAATTATAGAAATTCCTTAAAAGTATTTAAAGTTTAATTGTAAACAAAAAATTTATTTATTTATTGATTTATTTATTTGTTTTTTTTTTTTTTTTTCATTTTTCATTTTTCATTTTTAAACGAGAGAACACAAAGTAATAAAGTTTTTAACCTATTTACAAACATTAAACAACTGGTATATAGAAATGCTTTAGTTTAATGGGTGCGGCTAATTGATAAGCATATGTTAAACCGTCACTCTCGATAGCGGAGCTTTTAAATGCCTTAACCGCAGTTGGTATAACCAATGGCAATGATACTGCGGCTGATAAGAAATCTTCACTTTGCACTGCAGACGCGTTATGCAAAAGATTGTGACGGTCTTCTTCGGCTTTGAAGCGAGCAAAAAATTCTTCTTTCGCAGCAGCTACTTCGGGAGTATCTTCGACAGGTTGCGGTAATATATCGGATGCAGCGTAATCTCCTGTTAAAATTGCCTGATGAGCTGCCAAATGCTGTTCGCGCGCCTTCCTTACCTCCGGAGTATCCGTTACAATTTGTGGCATTTCTTGTGTATCGAATGGTAAATTGGTAGCAGCTACGCGAAACCCATTAGAGTCGGCAGTGTAATCGACTGTTTGTAAAAGGCCATTGGTGTCTATATACGAATAGGAGCCCTTTGTGATACCATCTGCTGTACGAGTTTCTTCCTTTGCCGATAAAGGTTCTGAATAGCCATATGAGTACTGACCTAAAGCGTCCTGATTATGGTACTGTTGAAGTTGCGCGCGTTGAGATGTTATTAAAAATATCGGCGATTTTAGATGAGACGATGCCGTACCTGCTCTTGTTATTTTTGATAGTGGATAATAATACGTAGTGTCAGCTAAGGTAGCAATTAACAAATAATAAAAACAAATAATAGATTTCATCTTGCGGTATGCGGATAATGAAAATTTTGCCTTTTTATATGTCAGTAACGCTTAAGGCGCTGCTAGTTCTTTAACGACTAGTACTCGCTCTAGAAAACTCTGAGTTCGATTAATGTGCGTTTACACAATTGTTCTTTCTTTTATACGTAAAAATGCGCAAAGGAGAATCTTCAAGTACTCTGACGTTATACTCCTGATCGCTTCAACTATCTCATGCAATAGTTGTTGTTATTTTTAGCCATATACATGAATGCATATAGTTTTTGCTTAATAAAATCTTTTCAAGGAAGGTCATCCAGTTTACTTTCATATATTCAAACAAATATTACTTTGGCCCAATACCGAGCACTCTGGGATATTATGTTGCACTATTTTGATCATCATGTCCCAACCAACCAGCCAAAGTATTTGGTATGTGATCACAGAGATCACAGAAAAAAAGGAAAAAGAATTGAAGAAAAAAAAAAAAAAACAAAAACAAAAATAAAAAAACAGAAACATATTTTATTACAATATTGCGGTACTTCCTAGCGTGTTCAGGCTTCCTAAAGAGAGCGTTGTCATGTATATGTCCCTTCTTCGCGAAAAAGGCAAACGTTGAAGCGCATGGCGTTATGAAGCAATGTAGCACGTGAGCTATATTGTTTTGGTTATATTTTTTATTTACTCATTTTTTTATATATATATATATATATATATATATATTTTTTTTTTTTTTACTTTTACGAATCGTTAAACTGTCGTTATATTGCTGATTGTGTTTTCCTGCCATTCATTCACTATGTGATATGCACTCTGCGCGCACTACATCAACATGTAATTTGTTATCGTATCTGCTGTTGACTTGTTCACGTAGAAGTATACATAATCTGCAAATGTATGGCTTGTCATAAGTTAAGAACTTAATTCGCAAATTATGCTTATGTGGTATTCAATTTTGCCTCTCTCGCTTTACAATGATGGTTCACCTATGCATGCATGAAAGATATATATGATTACATAACTTTCACAACAGGCAAAAGAATGACTGACCGACTGAGTGACTGACTAACAAAATAAAGCGAGTGAGAATTGGAAGAACTTATGCAATATTCGCATAATTCTTTTGAGTGAGGACGTTGAAAATGTATTATTGCAATGTCAATGGGCGTCTACTCTTTGCAGATTGGCTTTCTTTAAAATTATTCGAAACGTTGTCACTTTCATTTTACCGCCGTTACATACCGTACACCACTACATATAATACAGTATTTAATAAAGAGATTTTTCAAAATAAGGCTCTATATCGGAAGCAGTGTAAAAAGTGGCCCGATCGAGAGTTCATCATTGGGCCACAACACGTCGGTGCATCAAATTTCATCAAAATATCTCAAAAATTATTACTCCTAAGATGAGCACAAGCATACAAAGCAGGCATGTAGCGGGACGGACAAACATGCGATCTGCGATAATAAGAGTTGGACTTATTTCTAGTTCTTCTGGGTGTTGCATACATCTGCATTAACTTAATGCGCCTTTACAGCATAAATGCTATAAATTATAAGGACTAGGATACTACTAAGGCCTAAAAAAAGGAAAATGATTGACTTTTTGTTTATTCAATTTTAGATGAGCGCACTCCTAAAACGATTTAAATGATTTTTTACTATAACTTGACAGAAGTTTGATACTAAGTTCGTTCGTTTAGATACAGTTTTGAGGTTATAACAGTAATGATAACGTTAATGATAATGTGACGGCATCTTGACGAAAGAGCAAAACACAATATCAGATAGGGAACATGAGAAATAGACTAGCAAAGACATATAACTCGTACGGAAAAAAAAGGCTCCTCCATCCTTCCATTGCTGTCCGAAATTATGATATTATTCTCCTATTCCTGATAAGTAATTATTTTTATGTAAATTTAAGGTTATTTTGTGGGGTAACATTATTAAAAGTCATTTATAGTTCGGTTGAAAATTCTTTATTTCAATTGCTGTAAATTGTTTTCAATGTAAATGAGTGTGTAAAGAGAATATTTGATTAAAACTCCAATAGATCTCTTATACAAGTACAAAAATTATTTAGCAACGTGCAGTCCTACAACAATTCCATTAACAACTGAGCAAGCGGATAAGGCATTAGGGATAGCAATGATATCAAATGAGTGATATATATGTGTGTGTAAGTGAAAATGTGCATCTTTTTCTAAACGACAGATTTATCACTGAGGCGTTGTGTTAAATAGCTATTGCCTACGGATAAGGGTAAGGATTGTTGGTTAGTCAAATGTATGGATTCAATACGCGGTAAAGTGGTAAGAACTGTGGGTGAGCCAACCGTATACTGAGCACTTGGTTGCGATACATGATAATGATAAGACGAAGAGGGCAGACGCAGACTTTCGTACGATGAACTAGTTAAAAGTGCGGGACGCGTCTCTTCGCGTAAAAGAGTTAGTGGCCGACGGCTTGATAAATCTGTGAAATCGTGTACCGGTAATTTCAATTCTACATTTGAGTCAGCATTGTCCAAACGATATATGGTACGTAATTCTCCCAGCGGGGAATGTTCTAGTCTACTTTCAGCAAAAGCTGTTGTCAATAATTGAGGTTGTTGTTGCTGCTGTTGCTGCTGCTGTTGTTGCTGTAGCTGTTGTTGTAACTGTTGTTGCTGTAATTGCTGCTGTTGTATTTGTTGTTGCTGTTGTAACTGTTGTTGTTGCTGCAATTGTTGTTGTTGTTGTTGTTGCTGTAATTGTTCTTGTTGTTGCTGTAATCTCAATAAATTTTCACGCGGTTGTAATTGTTGCAATTGTTGCTCTTGTTGCTGCTGTTGTTGCTGCTGTTGCTGTATTCTTACAATGCTCTGTTGTTGTTGCTGCTGCAATTGCAATTCTTGCTGCTGCTGTTGTTGCTGTTGCTGTTGTAATTGTATATAACTACCATGTTGTTGTTGCTGTACCTGTTGCTGTTGTTGTTGTTGCTGCTGCTGTTGCTGTTGCTGTTGTTGTTGTTGTTGCTGTAATTGCAATTGCTCTTGTAATCGTTCATCAGCATTTCGATCCTGAGAATACGTTCGCTCTTGGCTTAAAAGCTCCTCACGCAAATTCTGACGATTTATTAACAAATCACGAGTATTTTGCTGCAACTCTACATTAAGCCGAGATTGCGGTTGTTCAGCCGCTAAATTATAATCATTACCGTCATTTAGTTCCGCACCTGTGTCCGGATGCAAAGCGGCCTTTAACGCAGCCTCTCGATATGCCTCAAAATGAGCTTGCTTAGCCAACTCTACTTCCGGTGTATCTTTAACTGGCTCAGGTGGGCGATTCGTATCCATCGGGGCAGTAGGCAAATTTGTAGCTGTAGCTTGGAAACCTTGATTTCGTCCCGCTTCATATTTTACTGTCTGCAATTTACCGTCACTATCCACATACGAGTAAAAACCTTTCGATGAACCATCGGTAGTCGTATATTCAGCTTTAGCGGAACTATCTCCTTTGTAACCGTACGAATAAAAACCTTTCGAATCCTGCTCCCGATACTCAGTTACCGGAGGTGCTTGCACCAGCGGATTATTATTCAAAAGAAGTAATTGTGAAGAGGAGGTGACAGGTAAAAAGTGCGTTTTAGAGGCCGCAGCCAATGTAAAAAAGGCACACAACACGAAAAATCGCATTTTATTGGCAAAGCAAACTAAAAATGTTGTTCGTTTAAAAATTTATTGATGATGCGACACAACTGTTAGCGACGCTGATTTTAATGTTTTAACTATAACACTTGAAGCTCTAATAAGCCTCTGATGCTAACGATGATCAAACGCCATAATTTATAGTCACAAAATAATATTTCAAACGTCACTTAATTTACAGCTAACAGACAATTTTTTTCTTGTCATTTTTACTTTTTGTCTTAAAATCTTAAAAGTCTTCAGTTTTGACCTCGAAATTGGCGCCCTAAACATCCAATATGGTCTTAAATTTATAAGTGCGTGCATGTCTTTGTGTTATATGCGGCATATCGCTTTACATTTTAGTTTAGTTTACTTTTAATCGTCTTGTGACAGCGCTAAAGCACATACACATACATCTATATGTCGTAATACTTTAGTGAGTGTTTAGTTTTATTTCAGTCATTCAGTCTTTTTTCGCAATTTGTCTGATACCCATACATCCGATCAAATTTCACTTAACAACTGGTTTGTGTACTTTTTCTATACTTACGAAAAACATTCAAAAAAGAAACGAAACGAAAAAAAATACAAACAAAAAACATTGCGACAAACAAATCCCATTTTGTCTAAACGGTTTTATTTAACAAATTTTTGTGGTCTATCGTAAAGACTCTGAATAAAGTATAAGAATTTATGTAACAGAACTTTGACAAAAAAATTTAAATAAATTAAATAGATTAAAAATGATCATCTTTCTATCCATCCATCCATCCATCCATTCATCATATTGACTAGACATGAGTAGATGAAGAGTTCTTGACAAATGCATTCATTGGAATTACGCTCAACTTCTATCTGATCAACTATTTCAAATAAGAAAAACTCCTTACCATCAATCATCCATCTAAGAAAATAAATTTCATTCACATTATCGATACGAAACGGAGATAATTGTTCAATATTCTCTGCAAGATTCTCTCACAATGCACCCATAAATGGAAAACTTTTTATGCCTTAATTGTCTTAGCAATCAATGTCGTAGCGTTTCGCTATATCGACATTTAAATGTACTGCAACACTTCGCCTTTTTACACTCCAAACTTAGAAATTGAATAAGACTTATAACCTACAGCCGCCTATGTCCTATGGTTTAGTATATTTTTTTTTTAAGAACATGCTTTCGAAATATTTCACATTTACTTATTATATTAATATAAAAATATTCATCGATGGGCACAACAGAGAGTTGTATGCGACTTGATCACAAAACTACTCCAATCCAAGCCATTTTCAATAGGGTTCGTTCTTGAATCAAAAACATGTCAAAATTGAAACATTGAATGGATAGAAAAACTTAAACGAATTCAAAAAATATATTCAAATCAATTGATATAACTACGAATCGATCTCTATCTCAAGTCGTTCTTTACTACCCTTACTACCCTTATCACGCAAGCGATTGAGGATATTATTAAACGCCAGCTAGTGTGTAATATAACAGTTATGATTATGGCAGAATTTCTGCTCAAGTTGATACAAACTACGAATATCCCTAAAATTAAACCAAAGGATGTCCTTCGCTTTATTGGATAGTTACCTAACCTATTGACCTAACTATCTACGTATAGAGAATTTGTAAGGCACTTGAGATTACTGCCATTTTATATATTGGAAAATGTGGAGCTCAACTTGGCCCAAAAGTTACGATTGAGATTTGAAATATGAGAAATGTTTGCTACGTTTGGATACAGCAAAATAAATTTAGATATGTCAAGGTCACGACGTGGATGAAACGAAATTGACCTAACATTTTTGATAACATTCCTGATGTAAGATTGAGCTGATATTTTTTCGTTTCCATAAAATTGCGACCGGAAAATTTGGATTGAAGTTTTCCCTAAAAAAAAAAAGAAATGCTCCCTGAAAAGTAGATAAATCGAACTAAGACCAGAAATCAAAAATTACAAGAAAAAAAGCCCAATATATATAGGCGATATATAATCAATATAAATCGTACGATGGACTTCCCATTATACACATACACAAGTGACTGTTTGATAAAAAAAATTTCGATCTCAAGTGCGAAAGATTTTTAAATAAAGCCGATAGCTTTAGATGCTAATGCTATGGCTCTAAGACTATGGTCTTAGAATTTAATCTCTGACAAAATTAATCATAATACCAGTGAAAAATCCGAACCGAAGTTTCAATAAATCCACTGCTCTTATGAAAATAAATGTGAGAACGTGCTACCTAAAAGAATTTGGATCGGAAATACTTAATGGATTTATTGGGAAAATGACTAAAACACCTATTGGTGCTTTTGCTCAGCAAACGATGACATCGAGCGATTTCGGCAAAGTGCTAGAATCCTTAGCAAAGAAGGAAAATATATATATATATATTTTTATTAAATTGCAAAAATATTATTATTTTTTTTTATATATAATAAAATATATATTTTTGTACGTTTTTCTTCGTCGTTCGAAATCAATTCTCATTGTTATATGAAATTATGGGTTATGTAAAACGTGAACTAAGTGTGTTGTTCAGCAGGATTTACGAAAGTTTCTTTGATTTTTTCTTTTCCAATTGTATAGAATAGAATACAGAATCGACCAAGTGAAGTCGCTCGCTAACAACAACCAACACTCTTTCGCAAGGTCGTAAAATTTTACGCCAGGGCGTAAGGCCTTTGTTGATCCATTCGACGCTTGGGCATATTAAGACTTCGTGATTAAAACCAGGGAAAAAAGGCGAAAAAATTTTCGAAAAATTGCTAAACTTTAGAACCTCCATTGC